CACCTTCATACCAATGCACATAAAATAAAGTTAAGTGAATTATGTTATAAAGTCCTTAATGAGTAGATGTGGTCTGTTGAGCAAATGACCAAAATGAGTATGGTTGTCCCTCTGTCCTAATGGGATCGTTTCTAAGACCCCACCCTGAGGCCCCAAATCTGTAGATACTCAAATCTCCTTTGTAACCTATACAAGTTTCTGATTGCCACCCTCCCTCCAGTCCTGATTCCCTTCCCCACCCCCTTCCTCTCCCCCATCCCCCTCCCCTCCTTCCAGTACTGGATTTTTGTCCTAGTTAAATTTTCCTCAACTTGATGTAACCTTGAGTTATTTGGGAAGTGCAACCTCAACTGAAAAAATGCCCATATCAGATTGACTGTAAGCAAGTATGTAGAGCATTTTCTTCATTAACTACTGATGTGAGGGGGCCCAGCTCACTGTGGGTGGTACCACCCCTGGGCAGGTGGTCCTGTTGCTCCAAGAACGCATGCTGAGGGAATCATGAGGAACGAGCCTGTAAGCAGTGTTCCTCCAGGGCTTTTACTTGAGTTCCTGTCGTGACTTCCTTTCATGATGACCTATGACTGGGTTTGTAATCTCAATTAAATCCTCTCCTCCCAAGTTGCTTTTTGCTTGTTTTTTGTTTGTTTGAAAAACTAAGCGGGATTGAACCAGGGCCCTCCATGTGCTAGGCAAGCATTCCACCCCTGAGCTGCAGAGATGCAGAACCCTCAGCTTTTGTGATTTACAGCCTCTCAGGATGACTTTGATTGAGTATCTATTCTGTCATGTGCATGGGTGTTTGCTTGCATGTCTGTGAACCACGAAATGCAGTACCAATGGAGACCACAAGAGGGAGTCAGAGTTCCTGGACCTGGAGTAATAAGTTTGAGCTGCTATGTGGTTGCTGGGAATTGAACCCAGGTTCTCTGGATGAGCAGCCAGTACTCTTAGCCACGGAGTCATCTCGCCAGCCCTCTAGATAACTTTGAAAAAAATGGATGCAATGTAAGCACTGTGCACATAGCTGCTAGACTGTATTGATTAAGAGTAAAAAGGAAAAAACCAAAACAAAAACAAAAACACGTGTTTCATATAAACAGTTTTTCCTCAGATTTCCAGTGAACAGTTGGTTAGGCCTGCAGGTGCAAAGCCTTCCAACAGAGAGGGCTGGCTGCCATATGCAGAATCCAGACAGCATTTTCAACAACCCATAGACTCGAGGACACATGGAAGACAACAATAACTCAGGAGTCCCTCCAGATGTCCAGAACCCAGTATTTATCCTTACTTAAATGTCCCAGTTGTGGCTGTCTTCTCTTTGTCCTGGGACAGGCTGTGGAGTGGGTGTCACTGATATGGTTGAATGGTGTGTGCCTCTCCTGTCTTCCTTGGGCCATCTGAGAACCCACATACTGTACTGCCCCAGCCCTGTGTAGAAGAAAGGCTGTGTTCTGGTGCTGGAGAGACCGAAAAAATCAGGAGTTACTTCTCATAGGGCTGCAGAGGTGGCTCATCAATTAAGAGTACTGGTTGTTCTTCCAGAGGACCTTGCTTTGATTCCCAGCGCCCACATGACAGCTCAGAGCTGTCTGTGATCCCAGTCCCAGAGGATACAGGCTCTCTTTTGCCTTCCGTGTGCAACAGGTATGCACTTGGTGTGCCAACATGCATGCAGCCTCATACATGTAAAAGAGGTCACTTCCCTGCAGGCATCAGTAAAATATCGTGAGGTTGGCATTCTGTGGGTGTGGGGTGTGGCTGATAGAGGCTGCAATCTTCCTAGGATAAGTCTCAGGCATGTGGGCAGAGGAAGCTGCTGTCATTACACAATGAAGCACTTTCTTTCTATGAAGTCTTTGCTGGGGAAGATGGGAGGAAACCCTTTGCCCCGGGCCTCTCCATCATGTCTTGCGGTGGGGACTGGCAGTGTCTGTCCACAGCAGGCAATGGTCTTTGGTCTTAGCACTCAGTTGGATCTAGTGCTAGACTTTGGTCTCAGTACTCAGTTGGATTCAGACACAGGCGCCAGGAAAGCCGATGGCAGAAGCCCAATGCTGGCTGCTCTGAGGTCTGCACATTCATATACAGGGGCCACTGCCAGCTCTGGGTACTGGGAGGATGGGTTGCTGGCAGGACTCTGTGGTGTAGGCAGCTTCTAATTCATGGCTCTGGACCCACAGCCTGGTTTCATCCTGTGCTGGCCCATCAGGTCTCCAGTCTGGGTTTTCCTCCTTGCAGGACTCATGTGTCGAGTTAGGAGGATGTGTTCTCTCTGTTTAGTGGGCAACCACCCCCTCCACAGCCTATAGGTTGGTTACTTTCTGTGTGCGTGAAAAAGAGTTGATGCTAAAGGGCACAGGGGACAGAAATGGTGAGACAAAGGTAGCGGTGAAATCGTCCAGCTCCCAGGAAGCCATACGGCAGGAGTCAGAGGTCACTGCTGTGTGTCACTGACAGTGCCTCTGGGCTTGTGTCTCATTTGTGGGTTCCATACATGTATATGGGGCGGCCCTCAAACAGCCATTGGTATTTCCATTGTGCAGAAAAAGGAAAAGGATCTCTTTGTTGTGCCCCAAGACAGCTAAGTGATTAAAAAAAAAAAACAAAAACAAAACAAAACAAGAAAACAGAGCTGAGGGGGCTGGAGCGATGACTCAGCAGTTAAAAGTGCTGTCTTTCCAGAGGGCCAGGGTTCGACTCCCAGTTCAGGTCTCTCTCATCTGTCTCCCCAGTCCCAGGGGATCCCACGCCCTCTTCTGGCTTCTGTGGGAACCGCATGCCTTTGGTACACAGATATAACATACGTGGCAGGTAAAACACGCATTACATAAAATTAAAAATTAAAAAAAGAAACCAGAGCTGGGATTTGAACCCAGGACTCCAAGGAGCTGATTTATTTTTGCCTACATTGACTAGCTGAGGAAGTTATTTCTTCCTAAGACTCCCACCTGCTATCTGGGATGTTAGTCACATCGGTGATGGCATATTCTATGCAGACACCAGAAATCACAGTTAAAAGATACAGAACATTTCCCCTGGAGCCAGCAAAACACGAACAGTATGTTCAGCATCAACTAGCACATGGGCATGCACATGTGATGGGAAGTTTGTTAACTGTGGTCAGTTTTTTTGTTGGTTGTTAGTGATTTAATTTTCTGTGTGTGTGTGTGTGTGTGTGTGTGTGTGTGTGTGCACGTGCGCGTGCATGGGCGTGCGCGTGTGTGCAAGTGTGCAGATATGTCACGGTCCAGCCTTGACAGGTTGGTACGTTCCAGGGTAGGGGCGTGTGGATTAGAAATGTTAGGTTAAAAAAAATCAGAGATACAAAAGAAAAAGACAGAGATACAGAACAGAGTCGGGAGGACAACCCAATGAATACTGAATTCGCCCACATTTATTTCCATTTGCTTTATATACCCCAATCCCAAAGCAGGGGAACAGAGTAATTACCTCTTCAATACCCGAAACATCAAACAACTATACCCTGAGATAAGTATTCTGTTGTTTAGGCAGGACATGCAGGGACCACACTTGAGGCCAGACATTCATAGGCAGCCACACCCTGGGTCAAATCTCCTGTCACAACCTTGAAGGAGCAAGAATAGGCCTGAATTCTCTGACCTTTGGTCAAGCTGGAAGGAATCTACATCAGTGGTCTCCAGCACAGATGTGTGGTGTGTGCATGGCACAGTGACTGTGGAGACCAGACAGCAATTTGGGTCATTTCTATCTTGCTTGAATCAGGGTCTTTTTCATCTTTCACTGCTGCAAACACCAGGCTGGCTGGACCGCAAGCTTGTGGAGATTCTTCTGTCTCCATCTCCCATCTCACTATAGGAACACTGGGGTTACCAAGGCTGTTTCATCCTGATTTTACTCAGGTCCCCAGCTCCTAAAACAAACAAACAAACAAACAGATAAAAACTATTTTAAACAAAGAACAAAGAAAGCTAGAGTGTCTAACTCAGTGTCCTGGATTAATTCAGGAGAGAGACATCCTCAGGAGAGGGTGAATAACCCATCCTTGACGCCAGGCGGTGGTGGCATATGCCTTTAATCCCAGCCCTCGGGAGGCAGAGGCAGGCAGATCTCTGTGAGTTCGAGGCCAGCCTGGTCTGCCAAGCTAGTTCCAGGACAGCTAGAGCTGTTACACAGAGAAACCCCGTCTTGGGAAAACAAAAGCAAAAACAGCCCATCCTTGGGAGTAGACAAACAGGCTCAATTCCTCTCTATCCAGATTTCCTGACAGGGGAGTACCTAGGACTGTGTTTCTGGATACAGCCTGTGGGGGACTCCCCAGTCTCCCAGATCTTGGACCTGTGAGACAAAAGGATTGTTCAGAGCTGAACTCCTGCCCTTGATGGAGTCTAAGAACGTCCAGGGCACCTTGTTCAAACGCAGATCTGCCTGGGGAGACTTGGGTGTGAATACTGTTTCTAAGATGTTTCTGGATGATGCTACCACTGTCCATTCAAAGGCCCTTGAGCATTGTCCTATTCTAGGATTTCCCTTGGGAAGGGTCCATGGCTTAGGCTCCACTGTGTGGGTACCACCAAGTAATGCCATCCCAGCGAAAACTGGAAAATGCTTAGAGATGTTACAACAGGGAGCTTCAGCAGGGACCCTTGAGTTGGGTGACTTCTCTGGAAAGACTCTTCAGAGGGGGACAGATCTTCAGAGGGGGACCTATGAGCGTCTTGAGGAGCATGTTGGCCAGTCACTAAGCTTGAAGCTCTTCCCATAGATGTGGACTCTGTGCAAAGAGCTCAGAGTTGGGATTCAGTGTCTAGGGTTTGAATCCCAGCCACGTGTCCTTGGGCACGACATCACCTCTCTTGGCCTCAGTTTCCTTACTTGGTAAAGTAGGAAGGAAAAGTCCTGCTGGATAAGGTCATGGAGGGGTGAAACGGTGCTGTAGGTTAGAGCCTGGTCTGACGAGTAGCATGCAGTAGGCGCTCTCAGGGAAATTTGCTACCTTTATACTGCTCTCCTTGTAGGTGGATGAGATTTACCACGATGAATCGCTGGGGGCCCACGTGAACATCGCTCTTGTCCGCTTGATAATAGTGGGTTACCGACAGGTGAGCCCCTGCTGCCTGGAGTGGGGCAGGGTGGATGACAAGCAGGAGACCACCAAATCCCTCTCCTTGAGGAGGCTGCAGGGAAAGGGAGGCATGGAGGTGGTGCAGTGAGCGAGACAAGTCCCATCATTGTTGAGCAGCCATAAACCAGGCTCTTGTTCTCCCTAATGGGGGTGAAGTCACACTTTCCTCACAAGCTACCATAGAGACTGGATGAGGGCATAAGTGTTCAGTCTGGGGAAGTGCTCAGCCCAGTGGACTGCCTTGCAGGTTGAAGAGGGTGGAAATCGTATGCTTTGAGTCTCTAGTGGGCATGGGTACGGAACAGTGCTTGGCAAGCACCAGTGGATGGAAGACTGTCCCAGCAGCAGCCAGATGGCAACAGCTGGTGATCTCTAGGGGAGGCGCCGCAGTCCCCGGGAACCTCCGTGTTCTCCTCTGGAGCGCTCCTATGATGTCTGAGGTCTTTAACCTTTCCACTGTTGGCACCCTGCAGTCCCTGAGCCTGATCGAGCGAGGGAACCCGGCACGCAGCCTGGAGCAGGTGTGTCGCTGGGCACACTCCCAGCAGCGCCAAGACCCTAGCCACACTGAGCACCATGACCACGTCATCTTCCTCACCCGCCAGAACTTCGGTCCCTCAGGTATGTAAGGGACTGTGCTGACCATGGTCAGGTGTGAGCAGCCTGCAGGGCAGGAGTGGAGATTCACGGTTGGACCTGGAGAGCAATGTTCTGTCTGTGGGGCTCACTCCAGGGAAGAAGAGGGGACAGGACCTAGATGGACCTAGATGGCCTTGGAACTTAAGGTCTGTGGCCAAGGAATATAGCCCACTTTGGTGGCCACTGCCTCAGTCCTACCTGGAGCTGCTATTTGAAGCCCCCAGTTGCTTGAAGACCTCAGAGGCCTTAGGCATGATTCTGCGTACTCCAGACTGTGAGCACTTGGGGAGACTGTGTGGCTGTAGGAAAGGCAGCCCATGCCCCATGGCACTTCATGGATCCAGGAGCTCTTCAGCTTCTGGATTCTTCCAAGTTGCAACTGGGGGGAAAGGAAAATATAATATTCACCGTCTTCCATCTGCCAGTTGCTCACTGGATAGAGGGATGTGCTGACAATCGTAAGCATCTCTATACATGCAGTATGGGCAGGCTTGGGTCTCACCCGGAAGTTCCACTTGTTCAGAGCGTGGAAAACTATAGCCTAAGAACAGGTCCTAAAACAGGGACATGGTAGCAACCAGCCTTTGCTTGGTCTCTGGGGAGAGATTTTTGAGAACCCCTCTTCTCCAGGAACCTCTGGCACCCACCAGGTTGAGAAGTCTCTGCATGGTTCAGGCTGGGCACACAGGTCAGCACACCACACCTCACCGGCCTGTGGTGACCTCTCTCCTTTTCCCTGGCAGGGTATGCACCTGTCACTGGTATGTGCCACCCCCTAAGAAGCTGTGCTCTCAACCACGAGGACGGCTTCTCTTCAGCTTTTGTGGTGGCTCATGAGACTGGTCACGTGTAAGTAGCATCGGGAGGGTGGGTGAGTGGCTCTGTGGCCATGGGCCGAGTATTGAGCTCAGAGGGGGCCTGAGCATAAAAGAACAAGGCCAGACGATATCTACCAGCTGCCCAGAGCAGGACGCAGCGCCATGGCTGTGGGGACCACGTGTGCCTTGGCTTTTGTCAGGCTGGTGGCAGAATGCCTGTCCTAGGCAGGGCCTGCTGTCTGGGTGGCCTCTATCCCTACTGTTTCTCCACTTTGTCTTTACCCCAGTGTCCTTTAGAGACCAGTTCCAGCTCACCCTGGCTTGTGCCCTCTGAGGCGCTGGCCCAAGCCCGCCATAAACAGGCACACTTTGAGCCCAGGCAGTAAGCCAGTTGGGGTTGGCAGACAGTTCTGTGGACTCGGATGCTGTTTAGAACACATGTATTCTCTCCCTCGCCAGAATTTGCTTTATTCATTTGTTTGTTTGTGTGTTTGTGTTTTTGAGACAGGGTCTTGTATAGCCCAGACTAGTCTCAGACTAGCTGAGGCTGTCCTTGAACTGTGGATTCTCCTGCTTCAGATCCACCCGCATTCTGGGATTGTGATTCTGCAGCTCCTCAGTTGGCTTCGTTCACTATTTCTTGAGCACCTATTAGGTGCTGGGGGGCTTGACTTACTGTAAAGGGCAGGCGATCCCCACTCTTTCCTAAGTCAAGGCCCCTCCCTGGTGCAGGAGGAAGAGAATGCACACCCTCCTCAGTTGTATCCGTGGGCTGTGTGTTTCCAGAGACCTGGGTAGTCCTGGGTCACGGAAATGATGGGAAGAGTGAGTGGCCATTGGTGTCCCAGCTTGGTCATACTCAAGAGCTGGGAGGATGTGTTTAGGGTCTGAGGGAAGGGTCGGTCTCCAGGAGGGGAGTAGAGTAGCAGAGGCATGGTCAGGGAGCTGAGGCTAGTAGGCCCAGTCAAGGCAGTGTCTGCTGTATGGGGTCCAAATTCACAGGGCAGGATCCACATTACGACTTTCCCTTGCCCTCTAGGCTTGGCATGGAGCACGATGGCCAAGGCAATGGCTGTGATGATGAGACCAGCCTGGGCAGCGTCATGGCACCCCTGGTGCAGGCTGCCTTCCACCGGTTCCATTGGTCCCGCTGCAGCAAGCTGGAGCTCAGCCGCTACCTCCCGTAGGTTCCCTCCACCCCAGGGATGGGATGGGATTGAGTGGCAAGCCCACCTCAGTGTGACCAAGGGACCCAAAAGTGTGAGAGTACTATTAAAAACCGGGGTTCCCTACTCTACCCAGGTGCTAACTAGAGTTCTCTGTGGGTTGGGCTCGGGAATCTGTGTTCATTAAGTGGGCAGATGACTCCATGCTGCAGGGGGAGCAAGAGTCTCTTCAGTTCCCCAGGACTCTAGAGACAGGGATGTGGGGAGAGCCTGAGGAGGTATAGGACAGGTGTTCCAAGCAGAGACAGGGACACCGGTCACTGACCTTCCATTGCAGCTGGCTGGCACTCCCCTTCCAGCATGTCTTCTGTATGGTGGGTACACTTTGACTCAGACGGTGTTCCCTCAAATTGTCCACAAGTCCACTCCTAATCTTATCCAGAGTGCACACTTTTATGTGTGCAAACCGATACCCAAAGCCAGCTATCGACTCTATCTATGAGGCCATAGTCCCCAGGGAACATAACCCCGCCACTACCCTGAAGGACAGGGCAAGGAATGACCCTTGAATCTGGAGGTTAGCTCAATCCACCCTGAGTTCTTTGGCCAGGATTTGGTACCCCTGCCCCTGGAATCCTCATGCTAGACTGTCATAGAGAGAGAGGGATGCTGTGACAGGCCATCCCCCTTGGAAGAGACAGCTGGGTACAAGTTCCTGTACGTCTTCCTTGCTAGTTAAAAGCCCCAACCTGGGTTGGCCTTCCTTGCTAATTAAAAGCCCCCGCCTGGGAAGGCAAGGCTTGGGATTTCTAACCCTCAGGCTGGCTTACCTCCCCTGTCTCCACTGCAGTTCCTACGACTGCCTCCTTGATGATCCCTTTGAGCGCACCTGGCCCCAGCCCCCTGAACTGCCCGGGATCAACTACTCCATGGACGAGCAGTGCCGTTTCGACTTCGGCACTGGATACCACACCTGCTTGGCTGTGAGTAGACTGGGTGCCAGGCGAGTACGACCCAGGCTGTTGGTTTGTAGAATACTGTCAATCCTGCCAGCAGTGGGCATAGGGACGGGCTTGCCAGCTTGGTTCCAGCACACTGGGAAGAGACAGGAGGAGGTGGGGGACAGGGTGAAGACTCCATCCAGTCTGCACTTCAAGCCGTGTAGATCGAGAGGCCTGGGCACAGAGGCAAGGAGGGCAAACAGCCATTGAGGCCCTGACTGGTCTGGTCCCTTGGGGAGTTTACCTATGAGGTAGTCCAGCCAGGTGTCAGGCCAGGGGCGGGGACTGGGTCAGAAGAGTTCCCACCTCTGGACACTGTAGTGGGTATGGTGTCTGTCTCCTTAGCCCTGTATCTGAAAGTTACCTCTCCATGGAGTCTGCCCGTGTCTTCATCTTCCTGCGGGAGGCCGTGGATACCAAAGAGCATAAAAACTGTGTTCCTAGTCCTCAGGACGGGTCGATGGTTGACCCTTAGGGTTGACCCTGAAGAGACTCACACAAGAGGAGATTTCAGGGCAGGGCATTTAAAGAACAGGCTTCTGAGGCGTTAGGACTTTATATCTACACCCAGAGAATGAAGCCTCCCTCCCCTCCCCTCTGCAGGATAGGATGCTCTGTTTGGTAGCATGGAACCCTTGTGAGGTTATTTCCACCCCCACCCCCCAGGCTACGCCGGGACGTATGACCTGACACAATACTGCACTGGGGCTGAAGAACAGGGTGTGGACTTCGGTACCCAAGCGCTGTATTTGTGGGGATCCTGTTTATCTTAGGGGAGAGGCTAAGAAAGTAGTGAGGAAATTGGGGGTACCCTTCCAGTCTGGATCACAAGGTTGATGGGGAAGCTCAGCCAATCACATTTGGCTAGGGACGGGCACCTGGATTCCCAGGTCGTTCTTCCTTGGCCCCAGGCGGCCATACCCTAGCCAAATGTGATTGACTGAGCTTCCCCATCACAAGGCGACTGACCTCTGACCTCACTGGTTGTCCATATTAGAAGGAGAGGAGGTAGTCTGAACTTCATGCGGTTCCCCTTCCCCTCAAGATCCCCCACATGCCCACGGATGAACGGCATCCTGGGCCCAGACCTCTGTGGAGCCTCCAGACAGCTTCTGTAAAGGATGGGGAGAGGGCAGGGTGTGTGCACTGGGAAGGGCTCCCTCTCGGGCTGTAGGAGGGCACAGAAGAGGTCCGGGAGTCATTGGCATTGGCATTTAGGGTCGAGTGGAGTTGACAGTACATGAGGTTCTGGTTACCTTGTAGGGCTCACATGCCTTCCTTCTCTGTCATTATCTACCTCACACACACACCCCCCGCCCCGCCTCACAGTTCAGGACCTTTGAGCCCTGCAAGCAGCTGTGGTGCAGCCATCCTGACAACCCATACTTCTGCAAGACCAAGAAGGGGCCCCCGCTGGATGGGACAGAGTGCGCACCGGGCAAGGTACCTGTGGGGCTGTGGAGGACGTGGCCCTCCTAGGGTATAGACCATCCGTGCCTTTCATGGGTATAGGTGCCAGGACCCTGCCTCTATGTGCCATGGATAACACACATGCCTAGAGTCCTTTTATGATCCCCTTGCTTCCACATTGCTCTTTTTCCTTTGGCCTCTATGGTCAGCCTGGGTTAGCACGGTCGTTTGGCCTCTATGGTCAGCCTGGGTTAGCAC